TGGAGGTCATTCTGGCCCCTTATATAAAAAGTACCATACTGGGGCAGCTGAGTGGCTTAGTCGGTTAAGCATCTGCCTTTGGCTCAGGTCATGATTCCCAGGTCCTGGGATTGAGCTCCGTGTCAGGGTCCTTGCTCAGCGGGGAGTCTGCTTCTCCCTCTGCCCCTACACCCGCTCATGCTCTCTCTCTCAAATAAATAAAATCTTAAAAAAAAAGAAAATACCATACACATTTTCTCTTTCTCTCACTCTTGCACACATGTACATACCCAGCAACTACTCTTGACACCATATTGTTTTATCATATTTCATAACTTTTATGACTATGTAGCATACTAGGTATTGGCTTACTGTCTTTCTATCCCCAAGAGAATGTAAATTCCAGTGACAGCTATATAGGAGTGCCTGCACAAAACAAGCATCTAAATATCTGTTATGGGGTGCCTGGGTGGCTCAGTCAGTTAAGTGTCTGCCTTCAGCTCAGGTCGTGATCCCAGGGGTCCTGGGAACGAACCCCACGCTGGGCTCCCTGCTCAGTGGGGAGCCTGCTTCTCTCTCTGCCCCTCCCCCTGCTTGTGCTTTCTCTCTACCAAATAAATAAAATCTTAAAAAAATAAACAACTAAATAAACATCTGTTAAATAGGGGAGATGGGGTAATTAGGGGATGGACATTAAAGAGGGCATGTGATGTGATGAGCACTGGGTATTACAGAAGACTGATGAATCACTGAACTCTACCTCTGAAGTTAATAATACACTCTATATAAATTAATTAAATTTAAATTTAAAAAATAAATAAATATCTGTTAAACAAACTTGTGAACTGACTGCCCAAACTAATTGTACTGGTGGATTACTCTATTTTATCCTACAATAAGAATATAGAAATTTCCAAAATTAAGGTGACAAATGAAAAGAACAAAGTTATAATATATAAAAGTTGAGAAGCAATAATGTATCTAAGAATTTTATGTTGTTTCTAACAAATACATAATATGGACTTAAAATCAAATATCTTAGAAGAATGTCTTACCTATCAGTCTGTAGTTTCCAAGTTCTAGTATGCTGAGCAGCATCTCCATGGTGTTGCTGATGCAAATGCTGAGGGTGCCTCCTTTGTTGCTGTTCTTGTTGAACTTCTACCCAGCATGGAGGAACAGTAGCTGAAAACCGTGGAGTCAAAGTCTCAAAGCGGGTTAGCTCCACTAGAGATGTCAAGATGTCAAGGGTGAATGGCTGGTCCACCAATAAATCAACTCCTTAACAACAGTGAATATAGAATTTGAAATAAGTTAAAAAAAAAAAGTTTTAATTCATGTTTTTTGTCTAGTCAATTACAAAACTTGCCAAATATACTGAGAGTTATTAATGTGAGCTCAGATATTTATATGCAAATAAAGTAACTAGCACTGACTACATAATGGCCATAATAAATATCCATCTTGAATATTTTTTTTTTTTAAGATTTTATTTATTTATTTGAGAGAGAGAGTAAGAGAGAGAGAGAGAGCACAAGAGGGAGGAGCGGGAGAGAGAGAAGCAGACTCCCTGCTGAGCAGGGAGCCCGATGCCGGACTCGATCCCGGGACTC